TGTGCACTGAATACCAAAATGGGAATAATTCATACCATTTATTTTTATTTTATGTATAGATGTGACAAGGAAAAATGACTAAGAGGAAAATCAAATCATTTCAAAGAGTTCTGTGGATACTACCAAAAAGTAAAATAAATGTGTCCAAAATCAAATCAGCTCTGAGCATTCAGTAGCAGACAAAATGACTAAATGAGGTTACTGTACTTTGGGCACATTACAAGATGGCATGACTCACGGGAAAATATGACAATGCTAGGATAAGTGGAAGGCAGCAGGACAAAAGAAAGACCATATTACAGCTGGACAGATTTGATCAAGAAAGCCCTGAATGTATGATACCTAAACAGGGCTATCTATGACTGGAGCTCTTGAAGGTTTTTCATTCAAAGGATCACCACAAACTGAATCTGACCTGAAAGCAAATAAGAATAAATGTAACAACTACAAAAAATGTGCATTCCAAAATGAGTGGGAGACAGAACATTTGTGAAAGAGTCTCTAATTGAGAAAAGACATTCTTTTGAACCCTTTCTACAGAAGTATTTGTGTTGAAAATTATCATTAGGCAAGTGCTTTTCAATAGAATTGCATAGTGGTGCAAGAGTATGTGGCTCATGATTAATTACATTACTAAAAAATTTTCAGCTGATTGCCTATAACACTTGCACAACCACATTCCACCCCAGGATTGCAATACAATGAATGGACTGTGTCGAAAAACGATCATATTCCTTAGTTCAAAAGTTATATCCCTGCAATAGAAGTATAATCTTAATGAAAAACAAGATCATGAAATAGGAAGCAATTGTGTATATAGCAGCTCTTTGACGACAAAGAAATTATGCAAACAGCTAAAAATGCTTTTTTGTGTACCAAAAAAGATCTAGAAACTGAAATATTGCACATCCTAACATTGAAACCATTAAGAAAACCTCACTGCATCATGGACCTCCACATCACATTTAGTTTTTAAGATGTGCATTATGATTAAATATTTATTTTCAGGGAAAGCAGCATCAATTAACAAACCAAACTGTACTTTAGTAATATAACTAAAGTGGGCCCTTGGTATCCACGGTGTTTCCAGGACCTTGTGAATAATAAAATCCATGGATGCTCAAGTCCCATTATATATACTGTCTTAGTAAAATTGTGTCCCTTACATAAAATAGCAAAATCCCAAGTTTTACTTTTTGAATTTTTAAAAATAATTTCAAGCAGTGAATGGTTGAATCCATGGATACAGAATCCAAGAATACAGAGGGCTTCTATATTTACGTGATTTTTTACTCTGCTTTTTGGTTCTGGAGGGCAGCAAATATTTGGAAACATGGTATCAAGCACTTCAATATATTTAAATAAAATGTCAAGTTATGAAAACCTATCACCTAGAGAATTATTGCAATAAATATAGAGGCTTATAGTAATTCAAGAATGTTGGTATATTCAACTTGTGTTTCAGGAAAAATCCTCTGGAAAAAAATAAGAGCAAAGGGAATAGGCATTAAAATGTTTTCTCAGTTCAAATTAACCTTGTCCTCTTCCCTTGATTTACTGCCCTTGGATAGTGCTCAGTATGGTGACTCATTTTCCAAACCAAATTGGTAGGCTTAGTTTTCTTCCTCCCATAGATCTCTTCCTCCACATCAGTGGAGCTGCCATTTATTATTTTTTATGTTTTAACTTGTTTTATTCATGGGCATAGATCTATCTCCAGTCACTTCCTTAGTTTATAACACCTGCTACCTCCTTTCTTTTCTTTGCTCCCACAATCAACCTGAAATGATCTTAAGAGATAATGTGAAAATGTTAAGAAACTAATCTGAAACCCTATACTACTTGCCTGAGAAAATGGAAATGTCTTTGATTTAGATAAGTTAGGCTTCTTCAGCCTCATTATATTTTTCACTGTCATTATACTCATTTATCAGATCTGGAATTACATTTTACAATAGTACACTTACAGAATTTCTTACTGGTCCATTTTTATCCCAATTGTTGCTAAGAATGGACTCAGGCAAAAAAACAAAGTAATGGCAAGGCCAAAATTGCATCAATGTGCCAAACCCAACACTAGAAGAACCTTTTCATAGTATTACTTTTGCTATATTTCCAGTTGGATTGTGAATTGCTGTAGGGTCCTGTTGCCTGAAAGCCTAAATCCATGTGAATAAAGCAATACATCATATATATTTTTAAAATATCAGTGAACGGCTTTCATGAGATACCTTGAGATCCCATAATTTTCATGATCACTATTTCTGTGTCCATCTCTCTTAAAACCTCTGGGATTTGAAGTTCAGAGATGTAATTAGAATTCACAGCCAGAGACTTTTATTGCCTCACCAAAGTACATCTCTTTTCTGAAGCTCACAGCTTAATGTACTATTTAGCATCAGTACTTTAGCATGTTCTTCCACAGTGAGGGCATTGGTTTTCAGTGGAAGGCGGTCCCCGCCAGGGTTGGCTTGACGCGACTTCCTCTTGGCATGTTTCTCCCTTACACCCTCCATTTATGCCTCTTCAAATTCCACAGCACTACTGGTCACAGCTGACCTCCAGTTAAAACGCTCAAGGGCCAGGGCTTCCCAGTTTTGGTGTCTATGCCACCATTTTTGAGGTTAGCTTTAAGCCCTTCTTTAAATCTCTTTTCCTGTCCACCAAGATTTTGTTTTCCGTTCTTGAGTTGGGAGGAGAGTAACTGCTTTGGGAGATGGTTATTGAGCATTCGGACAAGGTGGCCAGTCCAGCGGAGTTGATGGCATAGAAGCATGACTTCAATGCTGGTGGTCTTTGCTTCTTCCTGCATTTGTCCACCTGTCTTCCCAAGAGATTTGCCGGATTTTTGGAGGCAACATTGATGGAATCATTCCAGGAGTTGAGTGTGATGTCTGTAGATAGTCAACGTTTCGCAGGCATATAGCATGGTTGGGAATACAATAGCTTTATAAACAAGTTCCTCAGTCTCCCTATGGATGTCCCAATCCTCAAACACTCTCTGCTTCGTTTGGAAAAATGCTGCACTCGCAGAGCTCAGGTGGTGTTTTTTGTCAGTGTCAATGTTGACTTTTGTGTAGATAGCTGCCAAGGTAGTGGAAATGGTCAGCATTTTTCTAATTAAGATGTATTTCTGGTATTGCTGGGGGACTGGCTGGTGACTGTTGGAGGAGCATTTTTGTTTTCTCGATGTTCAATGAGAGGCCGAGCTTCTCATATGCTTCTGCAAAGGTGTTAATTTGATACCATTTAAACTGTTATGTAGGAATGCTAGGGAAACATGGGAGCTGTAGTAGGGTGAGGAACCAGCCTTCTTTGGCAGAGAAGGCCATACAATCCCCACCGATCCTATAGTTCAGGTGCCCCTTAGGTATTCAGTATCTTAGGAGACACAAATTTCCAGGTGGGAGAAACTAGATTTCTCCAGGAAAGTCCTCACTGAAAGTCCTCATCTAGCTTTTCCTATGTGTGTTTCTTTTGAAATCTTAATACAGGGCTTTCCAAACTGCTGCAACACCCGAGTGTGTTGGCTGCAGTGTGTAGGTTTGTCACACAAACATAACAAGAAACCTGATTCTGAAACATGCAATAAATCACACACACACATATATATACATTATGCTACTGCTGGACCACCAGCATTGAAGCGATGGTCCTTCGGCATCAACTTCGCTGGACCGGCCACGTTGTCCGGATGCCCGACCACCGTCTCCCAAAGCAGTTGCTCTACTCCAAACTCAAGAACGGAAAACGGAATGTTGGAGGACAGGAAAAGAGATTTAAAGATGGCCTCAAAGCCAACCTTAAAATCTCTGGCATAGACACTGAGAACTGGGAAGCCCTGGCCCTTGAGCGCTCCAGCTGGAAGTCAGCTGTGATCAGCAGTGCTGCAGAATTTGAAGAGGCACGAATGGAGGGTGAAAGAAAGAAACATGCCAAGAGGAAGGTGCGTCAGGCCAACCTTGACCGAGACCGCTTTCCACCTGGAAACCAGTCCTCACTGTGGGAGAAGATGCAGGTCAAGAATAGGGCTCCATAGCCACCTACGGATCCACAAGAATATTGATCATGGAAGACTATCCTACTTGTCCAACGAGGGATCGCCTAAGTAAGTAAGTAAAGTAATTCATTAGATGTTATGTCCCGCATAAGTTTCATTATTTCCATTTATGTATGGATCCTGATCCTTTGGTTTGACCACCAGCATGCTAGGAAAACTGAGCGAGTGTGTTGTGAAACAATGCCTGTCTGAAAGTTTTTAGTTTAGGTGATCCCTCGTTTTCCGAGGATGATTGTCTTCCAGTATTCTTGTGGGTCCGTATGTCTGTGGAGCCCTATTCTTGCTCTGCATCTTCTTCCGCAGTGAGGGCATTAGTTTCCAGGTGGAAGGCGGTCTCGGTCGGGGTTGGCTTGACGCACCTTCCTCTTGGCACACTTCTCCCTTTTGCCCTCCATTCCTGCCTCTTCAAATTCTGCAGCACTGCTGGTCACAGCTGACCTCCAGCTGGAGCGGTCAAGGGCCAGGGCTTCCCAGTTCTCAGTGTCTATGCCAGAGTTTTTAAGGTTGGCTTTGAGCCCATCTTTAAATCTCTTTTCCTGTCCACCAACATTCCGTTTTCCGTTCTGAAAAGTGTGTCACTAACACGAAATGTTGAAAAAGCTTCATAACGTCTCACACGGCTTTGCAAACGTGAGGCCCCCAAACCCCTTGACGCGGTGGTTCCCAAGGCCTCTCCCCATCCAAAGCCTCCAAGTAGTATCAGTAGACTACTACTACTGCTGCTAGTAGAAACCCAGCCCCCATCCTCAGCAGGAGCAGCAGCAGCCGCCACCACCCTTCATTGTTCTCACTGCCGGCCTCCCTCCTTTCCTCCCTCTCTCTCGCTCTCTCCCCCCCCTTCAAGCCCAAACGCCTTTCAACGGCTAATTTCTCCTCAACACAAACGAGAGAGAGAGAATGAGAAAGAGAGGGGTGCATCGAGAAGCGCGAGCCCCACGTTAGGAAGCGCGCGCACTCGCCGGGCTGTTGACCTGCGACGCGGACGCGCACGCACTCACGCAAGCGGGAGGGTGAGAGCGAGAGAGGTGTGTGGTGTTTGCCTTATAGCCAGCGCGCGTGCGAGACGGAAAGGAGTGGAGCCGCGTTGGTGACGCGCTCTGAAGGCGAGAACGCGGCGTCGGCGCGCGCACGCATACAGACATCCAGAACGGTGGTTTCCTCTGTGGGAGAAAGAAGAAAAGGCGGGGAAGGAAGGAAGGAGAGAGAAGAATAGGAGGAGGAGGCGACGTCGCCGCCGTTGTCGTTCCGTGAGGTGAAAAAGAGACCGAACAGGAAGCAGCGCAGGAGCGCTCGAAAAGGGCAAAGTCTGGATTTGTGTGAGGAGAGGAAGAGAGAGAGAGACGCCTCTCCTTTTGTGTGTGTGTTTGCCAAACAACCCGGCCTTCGCTGTGTATCGTGTGAAAGGTGGACTCGGCTGAGGAAGGATGTCGGGAGGCGGCGGCGGCGGAGGAGGAGGAGGGAGCCGGGAAGAGGAGCGGCGAAAGCTGGCCGACATTATCAACCACTGGAACGCGAACCGGCTGGACCTGTTTGAGATCAGCCCCCCGACCGAGGTGAGCGAGGAGGAGGTGAAGGCCTCTCACACACACCCTCCACCCACCCCCACCGGCGCCCTTTCCCCCCTCAGCCAGCCAGCCAGCCAGGCGACCTGCCTCTCAACCCCTTAGCTTATCTCCCCTCGCTTCCCTTCTTCCCTCTCGGAGGTGAGGCCTCTCTCTCTCTCCCTCTCCCTTCGCTCCGCCCCTTTCCGAGGTGAGAGACCCCCCTCCCTTCCCTTCCTCCCTCGTCTCATTTCCTGGGAGAAAGAGGTCACTTCTCGCCTGCCTTCACGTTACGCCTCTCGCATGGTTGCATTTCCAGGGAGGCCGAGGGGTGGTATCTCCCCAGCCTCCTTTTTAATGAGAGCGTGCCCAGCCTCCCCGCCCGCTCTTTCGTATAATAATCCTTTCGTACCTGCGACAGCACATAACACTTCGCAGCATAACCTCTCTCCCTCCCTTCCTCCCCCTCTCTCCACACACCCATAGCCGGCCATTTCTACTCTCAAGGCCCCATCCACCCTGAGCATGAAATGCAGCTCCCAAGGTAGCTTCAGCAGCAGGCAGGCAGGCGACAAAGTCCCACAAGAGCGCAGGAAAGCAAGCCCACTTCACCCGCATCGGTGCTTTTGTGGTTTTGGTGTTATCTCCAATCTGGTTCCCAGGTTTTCCTGAGTAATCATCTATCCTTCTTTGGAGGCTTTTAAACAGAGGCTGGATGGCCATCTGTCAGGGGTGATTTGAATGCAATATTCCTGCTTCTTGGCAGGGGGTTGGACTGGATGGCCCTTGAGGTCTCTTCCAACTCTTTGATTCTATGATTTTATCTGCATGGTGAAACCACTTTATTAAATACCGGTGTGAAACTGCACTAAATAATCATAGAATTATAGAATCAAAGAGTTGGAAGAGACCTCATGGGCCATCCAGTCCAACCCCCTGCCAAGAAGCAGGAATATTGCATTCAAATCACCCCTGACAGATGGCCATCCAGCTCTGTTTAAAAGCTTCCAAAGAAGGAGCCTCCACCACATTTGTCATGTCAGGAGCGACTTGAGAAACTGCAAGTCGCTTCTGGTGTGAGAGAATTGGCCGTCTGCAAGGACGTTGCCCAGGGGATGCCCGGATGATTTAATGTTTTATCATCCTTGTGGGAGGCTTCTCTCATGTCCCCGCATGAGGAGCTGGAGCTGATAGAGGGAGCTCATCCCTCTCCCTGGATTCAAACCTGCGACCTGTCGGCCTTCAGTCCTGCCGGCACAGGGGTTTAACCCACTGCGCCACCGGGGGCTCCTATAATAATAATAATAATAATAACAATAATAATCTTTATTTATACCCCTCCACCATCTCCCCAATGGGGACTCGGAGCAGCTTACATGGGGCCAAGCCCAGACAACATATTACAACAATAAAATCAAAGCATAAACAACAAACAACAACATTATCAAAATGACATTAAAAGGAAAGGAAGGGGGAAAATCATAAAATAAACATTCCAATAAACACAATCATGGTAGTGATGACAATGGGTGGGCCACGTATTCAGGATAAAAACAGTTAAACTATAATGAGGTAAAATAGGAGCAGGACTCATAAAACACACAGAGTTGTGAGGCTGAACATCCTATTTGGAGAGCACGAACTCCATTAGCAGAAAACGTTGAGGGGTGCAAATATGCTGTGCACCTGCTCACCAAAGTTTCTAGTGAAGGGGCTTTCCTGATCTCCCCAGGTAAGGAGTTCCAAGAGTTCTAAATGCTCAGTGTAGATAACAACAACAACAACAACAACAATAGGTAAAGGTTTTCCCCTGACATTAAATCCAGTCGTGTCCGACTCTGGTAGTTGGTGCTCATCTCTATTTCTAAGCCGAAGAGCCGGTGTTGTCCATAGACACCTCCAAGGCCATGTGGCCAGCATGACCGCATGGAGTGCCGTTACCTTCCTACCGGAGTAGACCTATTGATCTACTCACATGTGCATGTTTTCAAACTGCTAGGTTGGCAGAAACTGGGGCTGACAGCAGGAGCTCATGCCGCTCCCCAGATTCGAACCTGCGACCTTTCAGTTAACAAGTGCTTTAACCGACTGCTCCACTGGGTTTTATTATAATATTATATTTTATATATTATAACAACAACAATAACTGCAATAGGCCACCTTACTTGGATCTACACGCATCCTTCGAAAATACATCACACAGTCCTAAACGCTTGGGAAGTGTTTGACTCATGATTTTGTGATATGAAATCCAGCATATATCTCTCCTTTTCTGTGTCATACTGTGCTTTGTCAGGAAATCATAATAATAATGCTTTATTTATATAGATAATAATAATTTTTCATGTCAGGAGCGACTTGAGAAACTGCAAGTTGTTTCTGGTGCCCAGGGGACACCCAAATGTTTGATGTTTTACCATCCTTGTGGGAGGCTTCTCTCATGTCCCCACATGGGGAGCTGGAGCTGACAGGGAGCTCAAACCACTCTCCCTACATCTGAACCGCTGACCTGTTGGTCAGTAGTGCGGCCGACACAAGGGTTTAACCCAGGCATGGGCAAACTTCGGCCCTTCAGGTGTTTTGGGTTTCAACTTCCACAATTCCTAACAGGCAGTAGGCAGTTAGAAATTGTGGGAGTTGAAGTCCGAAACACCTGGAGGACCAAAGTTTGCTCATGCCTGGGTTAACCTATTGCGCCACTGGAATAATAATACTTTATATAGATGGGGCCTAGGAAAGAAAAGGAGACAAATGTTCCTATCTTCTGTGTTGTTGAAGGCTTTCGTGGCTGGAATCAATGGGTTGCTGTGAGTTTTCCGGGCTGTCTAGCCATGTTCCAGAAGCATTCTGTCCTGATGTTTTGCCCACATCTATGGCAGGCATCCTCAGAGTTCTGTTGGAAACTAGGCAGGTGGAGTTTATATATCTGTGTAAGGTCCAGGGTGGGAGAAAGAACTCTTGTCTGCTTGGTGGAAAGTGGGAATGTTGAAATTGGCCACCTTGATTAGCATTCCACACATATAAAAATCCCACTTGCCTAGTTTCCAACAGACCTCACAACCTCTGAGGATGCCTGCCATAGATGTGGGTGAAATGACAGGAGAAAATGCTTCTGGAACATGGCCATATAGCTCGGAAAACTCACAGCATATATGCTTCAGACATCCCAGTCTATGTAGGCTTCCTCCACCTGGCATAGCTAGCTAGGCCTTTCCTTCTATCTGTTCTTTAGCACTTGCTAACTTCTTCTACATCCAATCTCACAAATTGCCCTTTAGCTCCTCAGAAAGCTGGCTACTTCCTTACTCCCCCTGTACCCTTAAGGCATCTGGTTTTTGAATCAGGAGGCAATGCCCTAGGAGACATAGATCCCTTCCACACAGCCGAATAAAACCCCACATTATCTGCTTTGAACTGGGATATGTACCTAGCAGTATGGACTCAAATAACCCAGTTCAAATCAGATATTGTGGGATTTTCTGCCTTGATATTCTGGGTTATATGGCTGCATGGAAGGGCCCATCGTGAAATCCAGTAATTGGGAGGGGGCTATATTGCAGGGTGTGGAGAAGGAGCATATTTCAAAATATAATAGTATTAATAAAAGGCATTACTGGAGAATTATTCTGAAGCAACTTCGGGGAGGAAAAAAAAGGGTCAGGAATCGTGAAAAAATATTATTTACACTTAATTGCGTTTCTTTAAGTTAGCCCCTGAGAATTAATGTTGGCTAAATATTGTGAATTAATTTCATAATCCTGAAAATAAATGTTCTGTTGGGGGGAAAACATTCATAAATTCATACTGAGAACGTTGACTTTGAAAAAGAAATGCCTGGCCACACCTCATTGGTGCTGTTGTCACATTCCTTGCGGTTGGTCAGTGTATGTATGTGAGTCAGGTATGAAATGTCAAAAGGGAAGAGTTTTGATAGGTTGATGGTTTTCTTTCTGAGCAAAACAGCACTGTAATCTTTGTTCATTGGGTGGAAGTATATCACGTGTTTGTTCCCAAGGAAAAAGAAGGAAATTTACGCTTGCTAGTGGCTCTGCTTGTTTAACAAAAGCTTAGACATGAACAGTAGATTTGCCTTCCTTAGTTAGATTTGCTTTCTTTAGTTTTAAGTAGCTAAAACGCTGAAATTGTTTAGTAGAAAGGAAATCCCTTTCACATGATTTTCACAGAAAATGAAATTGCAGCTTATATAATACTTAGTACACTTTGTGATTTTCTAATGAAACATGTATTTATATTTAGGGTAAATGTTAGTATTAATACAACTCATCTTATTTTTGGAGATAAATAATCTGGCTGGTCAGAATTTGTTTCATGCAAGATCAGATGATTTGTATTCATTTATAATTTTACAGCTGCAATGGACCTCCTCGTGTAATGACAGGTTAAGAGCTGTATTTTCATATTATTGGCAGCTACAAGTTTATGACTTGAAAATCTAGTTTATCTTAGATCAGCTTTTCACATCTGTTGTGGAAGCTGCTGCTGCTGTTAGAAATCTATTTTTTAAAATAATGAGATTGGTTCAGCTAGAGAAATGAGTTGTCATTGTCACTGTAATTAATGCATTGCAGGACTGTTTAACTCTTCAGGTTTTTTTAATACACAAATGCAGTGAAATGCCTTCAGCTCTTCTCATTAGCAAACTTGTATGTTCATATGATTGTTATTACCACATCTTGTGCAGGGGTGTGTCAAATGCCTATTCTGACTAATATGGTGATTTGTCCACAATTTAGTTTTGTCTGTGGTTCTTTATAATGTTTATAATATTTTAAAACGAAATGGTCAGGAACACATGGGTAGTGATATTACTGAGTGACTACACCCTTGTCGACGACAGTGGTGCTTCTTTCTACCCAAGCCATGCTGTTTCTTCCCACTTCTCTGGCAGCAAGGTGGAAAAACATATTTTCTACCATGGCAACCAAGCCCTTCTCCTGTTCTTTGTTTTTAGTGTTTAGTGTGACCCTTGATGCCCCTGAAAACACCTCGCC